TGTTTATTTCTATGAACATGTGTTATTGAACAATATGTGATGTTTTTAGTTATTTAATGCTATTGAACAATGTTTTTACATGGATATTTATGTTTTTGGGTATATATTGAAGTTGTTTATATCTGTTATGTGTATAGTTATCTTCTGGAAGTGTTTTTGTTTATGTTTGCAAGTGTTGAAATGCCATTGTTGGTTGGGAAGAATTTTTTTTTTGTCAATGCTACAGCTTTCCGGCGGATTTTGCGTCGGAAATACAACGGAAACGACGATACAATGAATCAGTACAATCACGTCGTCGTTTATTTGGATGCCGGAAATTTCCGACGCATTATACGGCGTCCTTTCCGCCGGCATTTTCCGGCGTCTGTTATGCGCCGTAAACAAGCCGTAGCTTATTTACGGCGCATCTACGACGCTTTATCCGCGGGGAATTTCCGGCGGATCCATACAACATAAACTTCCGGCACAGTTATCGCCGGAATTTCCAGTTGAAAATCGCCGGCTTCGCTAGCATTTTTTGCGCCGGAGATGGCGCCGGAACGTTTTCCAAAGGCTTAAAAACGTCGGAAAGTTTTTTCCGACGCGAACCAAACTGGCGCACAAAAATTCGCCGGAAATGCGCCAGAAACCCAGGACTTCCGTCGGATTTTACATGTTACCGGCGGATTATATCCGCCGATAATAGCGGGTTTTCCTGTAGTGAATGTCTACCTCGGCTCGACAAGTATCATCCCAGATTACTATCCTAGCTCGATATCCACAACTACCAGATGTTTGCAGTCCCCTACTATTTTTCACAATTAGTCATTGATCATTGATTGATGCTCGTCATCCTCTAACACCCATCAATGCTTGATGCTTACCATCCCTCGATGCATGTCCCAACTCAATATCCACAATCATTTGACTATCAATATCGCTCAAGTCCAACATATCCTAATATTTGTCATTACTCCTAATACTTGGCATCAACAGTCTCCCTATACCCACAAGTGCACGATGTTTAAGTTGCCCAATGACACCTAGTTATCCATATTTTCACCTTCTAAAATAAAGTTTGTCCTTATCACCTCCAAGTTGACCACCAACTTCTAGTTGTTAACTCTAGGCTGCTTGCTAACTCTTCATTTAACAATATCTCCTCTTTCATGAAAATGATTGCACAAATTATTTTCCGTTTGCTACTAACGTCTAGTCATCCCATCTTCCCTCCTGTTACAAAGAAGGATTATTCCAAAAACCTTACAATGTCATCAATAACATTATTTATAGCTTTCCTTTTCCTACACCTCAAAACAAAGATTTCATCCGACCATCTTCAAAGGCATCAATTACTCCTCGTGCCACTACGTTGCCACCATCATGTCGTGCAATTTTCACATGTAGAGGATGACTGAATAAATACCTCCCCTTGCCATTATGACCTTTTTTGTGCCACAAGGTCATCACCTTCACGTCATGCCATTTCCACTACCAAGTACTAATCCAATCATCTCTAGCTACCCCCATGACCTTCTCGCACAAGTTTGCTTCCTACCTTCAGCTCATGTTTTCATCACCTCTAAGATGCAAAAAAAAAATGCTATCAACACCAACTTCCATGCCAAAGACAAGGCTTCACCTCAATAAGAATACTAGCAATACCTTTTGTTTTGCATACATTATATTGATAGTTTATCCATGTCCGGGAAGGGTAGCCCTATGATACTCATATCAAGTATTACAGGAAATTGTTTCAGTTGAGCATGCCATGTGGTTTTTTCACATTCGTGTTTTCTATGAAGAAAAGCAAGCATCGCTTATTCACTCCACTTCTATGATAATATATGGGACGGGATTCAAAGCAAAGGAAATCAAATCTCTCTTTATTGAATTGACTTCTCTCACTCAACAATGCTATTATCAAGGAGAACACTAAAAAAGGACATGCTCGTGTTTGACTCATTAAATAAACAAGTTTATAAAATGAAACAAACTTGACCTAATTATTGAGCTTGTAAGAAGCAATTCACTAACATCAACCCAGCCTCAATCTATATTTCAGATCATAATTAAGATCTAAAACAATCATAGGCACAAAAGCGAGCGCTGATCTGATTTAGAACTCATACCACTGGAATAGAAATCACTAGTCAAATAATCACCCAAATTAGGATAGCTAAATTATCGAGATGATTACTCCCGTGTTATAAAAGGAACCTTCAGTGAGATGCTTCAGGATAACAAGTTTTGAAAAGGAAACATCGAATTTAATCATCTTTAAGATTGACTCAAGAATCCAATGTCTCGTGGGCCAGCCCCTTATTATTCTTTTATGGTTAAAATATCAACGAAGCTAATTATAATAAAATCATATATGTTTTTTTTTTTTTTTAAATGAATATTGAACTTTTTCTTGGTGGGGGGGGGGGAGGGGTTGGGAATTAAACTCAGACAATATAGAAACTTCGAAGATTTTTTTTTTCTTGAGAAAATATTTCTAGTGACGTATTGAAGTCAGATAAGTATCCACGTAGCCATTAATTTATCTGCAAAAATGTCATAGGGTTCCTTCTATAGCATGAACACGGTTGTTTTTCCCTTTCTCCAATCTAAAAAAAAAGTCTTACGGATGTCAACTGAAAGATGTGAAGCACTTTTAAAATGATTGTTTCCGAAGGATTGCGTCCTAGCGATTAATTCATTAAGGGGAATCAAATATTGAATTAGTGGTGATGAAACATTTTTTCTGTGGAACATATGCCTAAAAATTATTCATTTAATCTCCCATAAATTAAATTATGAGAAGAATCTTTGAATCACTTGCAAAAGCAAATTAGTAAATAAGAAATCATGAAAGAGTAATTATTAAAGCCTTTCTATAGAACGAAAGACAGATATAGTCATTACATATATGTATTAGATATAAAAATATAGGAGGTACTGACTATACGTAGATGATGTTAGCGACAAACTTTTGGTTTTGATGCCAGACAATGCAAGGCGCCGACAATATTCGTGGTGGCGAGCGTCAGCTTTATTAGCAAAAGTAAAGGATGATCTTTTTGACATCAATGAGCACTGGTATTGACAGCATTGACGTTGGTGTTGACAGTGGTCGGGTGTTAACGTTATTGGTGATGGTGAGAAATGACCTTATTAGCATGGGCATAGGTGTCAACATAGTGGATTAGCATCAATATCAGCATTGTGGGTCAGCATAGGTGTTGACAACAATCGTCATCCTTATTATTGATGAGGGCAACAATGACGGTGTTGATAGCATGAATCAGCATTGTTGGAGACATATGGTGCCAAAGTTTTTAGTGGTCTGGTAATAACCATGTTTGCCTCGATGCGCAATGGCAATGATCTTCACATTGATGTTGGAAATGACATGGCATCGAGCATCAATATTGTTGGTAATGGCAAGCAATGAAGTTATTCCACATAAAAAAAATCCTCTACTATGAGCTGCCCTCAAGTTTTCTCATTTCTATGTATGCCAAATTTTAGTAAAATGATAAAACGATAAACTTCCTCTTTACCACTGTGAACATTTGAGCACACATCTACAGAACCTAAAATGTTACATGCATTTATAGATACATGGCCAATTATAAAGCCAGAATTCTCTTGCTTAATTATCCTGATAACTCATACTTACTATTTTCTTATTTATCTTATGTGTATGATAGATGTGATTGGTCTCATCAAATATGATATAACATCATAAACAACTTGGTTTGTATCTTGAAGTGGTGGAAACACAGTCCTTATGTCCTTGTTCTTACTCCACCTTAACTAGCCTTGTTATACTTACCTGCATAGATACATACATACATACATACATACAAAGAATTTTGTATATACATACATATACATATATATGTAGATGAATTTTAATGCATCTACATAGATTTTTGTATATTTATTATTATTCTATAAATAAGTATTTTAGATCTATGTATAATAATAATTAATATGTGCAGATATTTAGATTTTTTTCATAAAGCCAGTGGATTCACCTTTAATATTTTAGATGTATTTCTTGCTTACTCAAAATCATAATTAACACAACTTGAAATTAAATTTATAACAAATTCTTGGAGAAAAATATTTGAATGAAAAAAAAAATTATTTGAATTGAAGTAAATTGGGTGAGAACTTACTTTACTTAAAAATTTCTATATAAACAAAATAAATATAATGAATTTCGTTATTTTATTTAAACAAGATATTTTATATTCCAATAATCCGAAAAGAATAAACTATCGCATTATTTATTTTAATTAGGCCCTCTACTTTGCCAGTAAATTTGCAGCGGCACGTGCTCTTAAAGTTATGTTGGCCATATTGGATAATTATGTCCCAAACTCTTGCTTACTCAACTTCTGTTCCATTCATAATTAAATTCTACTTGTTTGACTTAAAAATAAATTTTTTCAAATTATTTGGACACAGTAAAATCGGTTACATAAAACTTTTTCTTCATAAAAAATAAAAACCCACACATCATACTTCTCATTAAAATAAATAAATAATAAAATTTCTTCACTGACCTCAAAGAATTTGTGTTCGCGAGAAAATTGATACGGATTCTTTATAAATTAAATTTGATAGTTTAAAAACAAACTTACTCCCGCAATACAAATTTTCATACAAATAATATAATAAACTTCTACATAATTGAAACTTTCTTGTAGAAATTTAATAATTTGCAGAATCCCACAGCCCAATCCAGTCAAAAAGTAACAGTTTCACCTAACTATTATTCCCATAAAATTTTCCTCAGACAAATATCTCTGTTCCAATTAAAAAAAAATACCCGAAATGAGCGAACCGAATTTAGTTTTTTTTTTTATTTTTATATATTGAGCCAATTAAACTAACTCACACACAACACATATTTCAAGCCTTTCAAATAACCCAAAAACAACCCCCCCCCCCCCCCCCCCCCCCCGCACCCCCAGGAAGTCTGCGTCGAACCAAATTAATTTTAAAAAGAGGAAAATACGAACCGATGAAATCGACGATGAGGCGGCCGTCGGAATAACGGCCGGAGGGCTGGCCGAAGAATGTCTCGCCGTTGGGCGGAGGAGCTGGGCCGAAGGCAGCGGAGAGGCCGCCGGTGTCGGAGTTCGAATCGCCGAAGTTGAAGATAGCCGGAAATTCACACGGCTTCCGCAATGACTCCGTAGCCGCCGACGAGGCCATGAGCAAGAGGACTGGTAAAAGCACTATATTGAAATTAGAGATGGTGTGCCAGTTTCTATTGCGATAAGCCATTGCTGCCTCGTTTTGTCCTGGGAGAGTGAGAGGACACAGATCGCTGGTGTTTTTGGTCGGGGCCTTGCGGCGGGGTGGGTTTTATGGAGGTTTTGGATTTTTCTGGAAAAAAAAAATTTCTATAAAGTTATTATTATTATTATATGAAAGAGATCAACTCATTTTGAGTTTTGCTAACGTTAGTGCTTCATTTCATCACGGACAAATCTTATATCATTTTTAAAAATATATAGGTGTATTTAAAATAATAAAATAATGTTTACGAAAATTGTTTTATCTTCTCTAGGCGGTTATAAATAAGACTCTCATTGGGACGATTCTTTTTTATCATTCTTTCAAAAGTAATTTTTTAGTAAATAAAATTTTGGAATATAAATTTTTATTCTAAAATTTTATTTAAAAAATAATAAAAAAAATTGTCCTGATTAAAACCTAGAAAGCATACATGTACCTTAACAATTTTATAAGATTGGGACGATTGCAAACATGTCCCAACATGTTCAATACAATCTCCAAGTTAGCGCAGTTAATTGGTAATTAGAATAGTAATAATGGCAAAAAATAATTGATCCCATGAGTTTGGAGACAAATTATTGCATCCGGTCACCGCACGCGGATATAGGTCTGGATATTAATAAAATATTATTTTAAATTAAGCACGTCAAAAGCACGGGTAATACGCAGGCAAAGCTCAGTCAAAGCGCACCTAAAGCACAATCAAAAATGCAGGTGACGTGCCAAGTTTTTATTGGTTGTCCGAACTTATTCTCCGCGTCCGGTGATCGGATGCAATAATTTGCCGAATTTGGAAGTACATTACAATGTCTTATTGATTAGAAAAATAAATTGTTTGAGATCTTTTTGATCTAGTTCAACTGTGTGCAAAGTATGAGACTAACAACTATGCATGTAAATTAAAGAATTATGATGCACATGTTATGCATAGTTATCGAACATATAAGACTCAAATGGAGATTAAGGGTTCGTTTGGGACGGCTTTTTTATTGCTTTCTAAAACAGAGTTTTTGTACAATTTTTTTTATTTTTGTACTAAAACTCCGTTTTACAAAGCAATAAAAAAGCCGTCCCAAACGAAGCCTAAAACTCAAGAAGAAATTGCTAAACTCAAAATTTACTAGTTCAAAAGTTCAAGATGAGCCAGAGGCACATTAGATTAAAAGTTGCATTAGTGGATGTTTATAGTTCCATTTCTTATCATATTATTCTTATCATATATCTATGTTTCAAGTTAATAGAATTTGTCAAATAATTAGTACACACATAAGTGAAAGTTCTAAAACATTATTTTTTGATATTTTTATTAATGCAAATGTATCTTAGCATATACACTCTAAATTTAGAAGACCTAATAATATGATGATGATGATGAAAGAAAATTATCATCTCGTTCGGAATGAGACGAAGTTCTCTTGGAAGGACGTGTTCATTTGGTACGGCTTGCCATTTGAGAAGGATTGAACATAAGGATTGAAAGTGACTGAATGTGGAATATATTGAATAAATTCAAAGAACAAATTCCAATTTATAGAAATAGGATGATTTCGTACAGTACAAAATTGAGTCCATACGTATGATTGTGAAGTTCGTATAGTACGATCTTGAGTTTGTACAGACGAACACAAATTGTCAAGAATAGTTATTATAATGAAATGACTTTTCATAAAGTTGCCTTTTCGAAGAGTCTTTTTGTACGACCTTTGACCAACCTGATCGTACAAACGAACAAGTGTTCGTCTGATATGATTGGTTAATAATGATTGTACATGTAGGTTGAACTCTTCCACATGCAGATCAACAACTAGATCGTGCAGACGGACAAGTGTTTATACAAACGATGTTCAAAAAATAACTATCCTTGATATGCCCGCCATGCTCGTACAGACAAATAATTGACTATTTGTACAACCGATGATGTGTTCGTACTATACGATTACCCAAAGAAAAAATAAAATTTCATCTATCTACTTTAGAAAAAAAATTATTTAAAATCTGGAGTATTCATATAGTAAGAAAGTGGTTCATACAGTACGAATGAAAAAAAAAATAATTTAGATTTTCTCATGTTGATCAAGATATTTTTTAAAACAATTCAAACAAGATCCACAAAACATAAAAATAAAAACAATAAAAATGAAAAATCAACCATAAAAAAGAGAAAAGTCAAACAAAACAAATCACAAACAAAAAACAAAAACACAATCATAAACACCATCATTAACACAAAAGAAATACACAATAAATGCAATTTACATAATTGCAATTGTCAAGCATGAATATCAATTGCACCCAATGTGATTTTTAAGGTGCTGAAAATTTTAAAAATTAGTTTTTTTGTGAAAATGTCTACAAGTTAATTTTTAGTTACTATATGGTGTAGCTCAATTTCACATTTAGTTCCATGATCTCTAATGAAGTGATGTATTATATTAATATGCTTAGTCCTAGTATTGAATTGGATTCTTTGAAATACAAATGATACTTGTATTATTACAAAAAAAATTAGAATAGTACTAATTAAAAAGCCTAAATTTGATTTTTGACAGATCTTTTGATTCAAATATTATTTCCGTTAGCAAAAAATGGGTATAACTTTGCACCGATAAAACTTTTACTGCTTAACTTTTGGTATGTTTTTGAGATAATGATTTTGCACGTTTTGAGTATTTTCTAGAAATTTTTCTCCGGGTATTCTGAATTCCCTGGGATTTTTATCGAATAGAAAATTATCGAGATGTCAAAAAATATTGTTTCAGTGTAATAAAAGCTTTGAAATGATATTTTACATGATCTCTAGAAACTAAGAATTCTGAACCATTGAATTTCTATTGTCTGTCGTTATACTCTCTGACGATATTTTGATAAGAATATAATTTCTCTGAGTCTGATATGATTTGATGTTTGATGAGATTTGAATGGTATCAGAAGGAAGTTATAAGGGGCCGAAATCCTTTGAGATTCTATCAATGTCAGGGAAGGGAGGCATAAGGGGCCAGAATCCATTGAGATTCTGTTTTGGAGGAAAGGATTCATAAGGCTCAGAAGTCATATGCTAAATATTTGAAGTTGATTGATCAAATTAAATCTGATAAGAAATCTGAGCTAAGAATTTCTGATTCTGATATTATTTTTTGTAAGAATAGGATGTGGGTTCATATGTCTGGAGATCTGAGAAAAGAGATTATGCATGAAGCTCATTATTCAGGCTATACTATTCATCTAGGAAGTGGTAAGATGTACGAAGATATGAAAAGTTTATTTTGGTGGCCTGAAATGAAAAAGGATGTAGCGGAGTTTATTTCAAAATACGAAGCCTGTCAATTAGTGAAGGTAGAACATCAGCGATCAAGAGGTCTTTTGCAGTCGTTACTTATCCCTAAGTGGAAGTGGGAAGAGGTAATAATGGATTTTCCTATGGGTTTCCCCAGATCAAGGCAAGGACATGATGCTATTTGGGTTATTGTTGATCTATTAACGAAGTCTACACATTTTCTTTCGATTAGACAGACAGATCCGGTGGAAAAGTTAGCTCAGATCTATGTTAAAGAAATTTTCAGATTACATGGTGTGCCGAAAGTGGTTGTATCTGATCGGGATGGACAGTTTACTTTCAGACTTTGGAGAGGTATTCAACAAGGATTGGGTACGAAGTTGCATTTCAGTACGGCTTTTCATTCGCAAACTGATGGACAATCTGAGAGGACTATTCAAGTAATTGAAGATCTTCTGAAATTATGTGTTTTGAATTTTGGAGGTAGTTGGGAAGATCATATCCCACTAATAGAATTTGCATATAATAACAGTTATCAGACGAGCATTGGCATGGCACCTTACGAAGCTCTGTATGGCAGAAAGTGTATAACTCCTTAGACTTTGACTAAGGTTGTAGATAGATAAATGATGGGTTCAACTTTTGTGGATGATACTATAATGAAAATCAATCTGATTAAAAAAATATTAAAATCTGCACAAGATAGACAGCAAAAATATTACAATCAAAAGCACAGATTGGTTGAATTTCAGGCTGGTGACTTTGTGTATATCAAAGTCAGTCCTATGAAAGGTGTTAGCAGATTTAGAAGAGTAAGTAAGCTCAGTCCAAGGTATGTCAGACCTTTTGAAAATATCGAAAGGGTTGGTAATTCTGCTTACAGGTTGTTATTGCCTAATCAGATGTCTGATATACACAATGTGTTTCATGTATCCTCTTTGAGAAAATGGATATCTGATTCTAAAAAGAATCTTTCTGCAAATGATGTGGAGGTTCAGGCAAATCTGGAGTACAAAGAAGAACTTGAAAAGATTTTGAACTTTGATGTGAGAAAGCTGAGAAACAAACAGATTCCTATGGTTAAGGTATAGTAGAAGTTCAGAACGGCAAGAGAGGCTACTTGGGAAAAGGAATCGGATATGAGACAGTTTTATCCAAGTCTATTCTAACTCAGTTTTGCTTTGGGAATGTCGAGGACGACATTTTTCTTAAGGTGGGTAAATTGTGAAACCCTTAAACTTTCAAGTTACTTTTGAAGAGAAAAAAAAAGTTTATGCAGTTAGTATATACGAACCATCTGTATGAACTGAAGAAAGTTTTGAAAATCTGTATGGTTAGTCTGTACGAACTGCCTGTACGAACTAATTAAAGTGTAGGTTTGTCTATACGAACCTGAGTTCGTCTGGACTAACATAACAATTATTTTTAGCTAGAGAGCATCATCTAGGGATGAAATCAACCATCGTCTGTACGATCTGTGCCCAAAGGAGATCGTCTCGGGATGAACGAAGAGCATCGTCTGGACGATCGAGTTCATTAAATAGATGATTTTAGATATTTTTGAAGAGAGAGAAAGCAGAGAGAGAAAGAGAAGGGAAAAGGGAAGAAATCCAAGTTTTGGGTGACTTTGGTCCTTTTTCGTCGGTCGCTGCAATTGGAAAGTTGATCAACTCGAGGTAAGATACATTATGCCTTTCTCAATTTTCAGAAATGTGATTTTTGATGGATTTTTTGTTTAAAATTTTATTTCCGTTAGCAAAAAGTGGGTATAACTTTGCACCGGTAAAATCT